GCCCTTCGTTGGGCTGAGCTCAAGGCCGAGGTCGAGCTATTAAACTTGAAGCTCTTCACTGGGCTGAGCTCGAGGCTGATGCCGAGCTTTTAAACTTGAAGCTCTTTGTTAGGTTGAGCTCAAGGCCGAGACCGAGCTAATAAATTTGAAGCCCTTCATTGGGCCGAGTTGGAGCTCAAGGCTGAGGCCGAACTATTAAACTTGAAGCCCTTCACTGGGCTGAGCTCAAGGCTAATGCCGAGCTTTTAAACTTGAAGCCCTTTGTTGGGCTGAGCTCAAGGCCGAGACCGAGCTAATAAATTTGAAGCCCTTCATTGGGCTGAGTTGGAGCTCGAGGCCAAGCTATTAAACTTGAAGCCCTTCGTTGGGCTGAGCTCAAGGCCGAGGTCAAGCTATTGAACTTGAAGCTCTTCACTGGGCTGAGCTCGAGGTTGATGTCGAGCTTTTAAACTTGAAGCCCTTTTTTTGGGCTGAGCTCAAGGCCGAGGCCGAGCTAGTAAATTTGAAGCCCTTCATTGGGCTGAGTTGGAGCTCAAGGCCGAGGCCGAGCTATTAAACTTGAAGCCCTTCGTTGGGCTGAGCTCAAGGCCGAGGTCAAGCTATTGAACTTGAAGCCCTTCACTGGGCTGAGCTCGAGGCTGATGCTGAGCTTTTAAACTTGAAGCCATTTGTTGGGCTGAGCTCAAGGCCGAAGCCGAGCTATTAAAGTTGAAGCCCTTCACTGGGCTGAACTCGAGGCTGATGCCGAGCTTTTAAACTTGAAGCCCTTTGTTGGGCTTAGCTCAAGGCCGAGGCCGAGCTATTAAAGTTGAATCCCTTTGTTGGGCTGAGCTCAAGGCTAATGCCGAGCTTTTAAACTTGAATCCCTTTGTTGGGCTGAGCTCAAGGCCGAGGCCGAGCTATTAAAGGTGAAGCCCTTCATTGGGCTGAGTTGGAGCTTTTTCCTTATGATTTAATGACCTACAGGTCTTCACTTGCTCCATCAAGAATTGCGACGATGAGAATCTTTGTCAAATCGTGATCTGCTTGGATCTAGAGCTCCATTCTAGAGTCTCTCGGAGGATCAAAAGCCTTTTTTGCGGTAGGATTTGTCTCCTCATATGTATGTGGTTTCAACAATTTCAGGGCGCGCGAGGTCGCCTGCAATCTGTGGCTTCGTGCTATGCCGCGCGTGTTCACCATGGATGGGAGTCGAAATTTGCCGTTTCCCACAGGCGGCGCCAATGTTCGGTCCTAGAAAGACCGTATTGCTATACCGTATGGTATGCGCTCAGAGATACTGTATAAACTGATGTATACTTGGCTTATAGCCGATGTCCCAATCACTGCGCACAAGCAATAGGCTTATAGCCAAGACGTGAGTGTGTGCACAGTATTGGCAGTATTAGCAAATAGGTTAAAAAAATGTATACCTGAGGTCTTTAACCTCTTATTTATAAGGGTTACCTCTTGGACTTGTGTAGATCTCCCAGTTGTAGTAGAATTTAACTTCCTTTCTGTTGGGATAGAGACTCTATCCTTAGCTGCCTTACTGTTTTATATTGTTAGGATAATTGGAGAATTATCCTTTAAGGGATCATTAGGTAGGTGGTTAGGATATGAAAATATTTCATAACAGCTTCAAAATCTGAATTGCTGCTGCTCTGTTAAAATTCAGTCACATAGAACAACTGTACCCTTATACTTTCCCTTAATTCTCAATTTATATTGAATCTCTCTCATGTTGACTCCACATTAGCGGGGCGTTTGGTTAAAGAGAAATTTTTTGAATACTAGAAAAATGTAATTACTAGGGAAATGATTGGAAAGCGAGTTTGGTAGGAAAATATAAAAAAAGTTGTTTGGTCGACCGAAATATTATCAGGGAAATTCATTTAAATTTGCAAAATCTATGTTCAGGAGAAATTTTGCACATGTTTTTCACTTCCCCAGTTATCTCAAAATACGACATCTCAAGTGATATTCTGTAACAGTGAATTTCATCCAAAAATCAACACAAAAGTCATTTCCTCATCTATCCTATTTGTCTAGTATTTTCTTCAAAAAAACCTGAACCAAACGTGATATTTTCCAATATTCACTTACACTTTTTCATAAATCCCAAAATAAATCTTCTGCCAAACACTAGTGGAAGTTTGATCGATATTACTATCTCTCTAAATTATTATCATATTAATAGACTCTGTCCCTCGAAAGAAAGAGATCTAAACGTAAAACATAAAAGGAATATACAGAGTTTTGCAAAAAATGAATAGGGGAAAACAAATGTTATGTCACAGCACATTGAATAATTTTTCTGCTAAACCTTTGTAATCCGTGATTTTTTATTTATTTTTTGTTTTTTCAAAACAACAAGTGAATCCTACCCCTTGTTGTTTGTGTCGCATGACGGAAAATTAGTCCAGTAACCAGATATTTGACAAACCCAAAAAAGTATCACCCTGTAGTAGCCTGAAAATAAATTTAAAAAATAAGCAACGTCAGTTTTCATTTGCACATTGGATTAGATTTGTATTTTTTTCAATTAAATGCATTTAGACATATTTTATAACCAAATATATTCCACTTTCAAAACCCATTTATTTTTAAGAAATGATTGGTTGATTGATAATTCATTAACCAAACTAATCCAATCCATCAAAATTCAGTAATTCTATTGATATAATGTTGTGGTTTTAAATATGAATGATAAATTAATATATTAAATTATATAGTTCAATTGGTTTAATCTTATTTTATCTTTTTAAATTTATTTGCAATTCATCAATGGTTAGACTAATCCAATCAAATCTGACAAAATTACACAGGCAACAAAGTTCTAATTATCAAATTTTAATTTCTAACTATTAACATATTTAAATACTTATATATGATACATGTTTAAGCTTTTATGTATATAAATACTCGATTATTGTAGAGATAGAAGAAGATAAGAAAAGAAAAATAATTAAGTAGCAGTTTTGCTAGATTTTAATGGGCTTTATTAATCTTATGTTGTAGGAGAGAAATTCTCTCCTACCATAGAGACAATCATGGGTGGGGTCCACTCATTTATAAAAAATAAAAAAATGAAAATTAAACTACGCGGAAATCAATGAGTGTGTAGGAAAGAGTGTTATCTTATGTTGCATAAGAATAATATTTCCCGATTTTAATTTAAGAAGTGCCCACAGATTAATTTTCGGATAATAGGCAGAGATACTTTTATCGAAAGCTATAAGTTTGTATTATTTTGTAACAAATGTCATTCATCCCATATTAAAGATTCTGAACACTAATTGTTAAAATTAAATTTATATAAGATTATTTATTAAACATAAAAATGGATAGGGATTATCTGAAGTTTTATATAAGGGTTCTATTAATATTATGTTGCTGAAAATAAGTTATTTTCAACTTACATATATTTTTCAGGATATAATTTTGTATTTTAATTTTAATTTTTTTAGATATGAAACTGTATCGTAAAAAGCAAGTGACTGCAACAAATAATCTCTCTTTCTTGCAATTGAGCAACATTTCGATTAATATAAATGGATAATTGAATTTTTTTTTTAATATAAGTATAATTGAATATTTGCCGACGGATGATCATGACTTGTTAAATAAATGTTAGCGCAGAAACCAAACATTGCAAGACGATAAAACAACGTGACGGTTACTCCGAGGAAACAAGTCAAGAAAGACAAAATAACCAAAGAGAAATGAAGCAAAGGTTTTATGTATCTTATGTACGAAGAGATAAATTATCTTTTATGGAAAAAGTATTTATCTTTTTAAATGACATAATTTATATTTTTTCACTCTCATTAAGAGGTAGGATCCACACTTTTATGTTTTTTGTCAACTCTCTCTCCTTCTTTATCTATCTCTTTATCTCTCTTAAAATGACACAATTTTACATCCTTTAAAATAACACACATTTTACCCATCTTTTATATATATAAAAATACGTAAGACAAGACTGATTTATATGAGGAAAAAAAATATAAATTTCACATATTTTTATATAGGGTTTGATGTTTGTTATTTTAAATGATATAAGTTATGTCATTTTAAATGACATAAATTATGTCATTTTAAGTGAGAAATAGACATAAGAAATAAAAATTATGAGAGAGAAAATGAGTATTCTTTTTAATTGAAATTTAAAAAAAAAATATTTTTATATGTTTATCTCTTTCTTAAAATGACTAATAATTTTTTCTTTTATATATATATATATATATATATATATAGGGGAAAAGATATTGTGACAACCAAGTTATGTTACTACCAAGTGACTACCAATCAATCTTACCGTTATATCGATTATATAGATCCAACGATTATATTTATTTCCATCTTTGTATGGTAATGATTCCCCAAATTTAATACTTTATATTTATTTTCGTCTTTGTATATTATGATTTCCCATATTTAATGCTTTCACTTTAAATATGTGGAATCATGACCATACAAAGATGAAAATAAATATAACCGTTGGATCAACATAATTAATCTAACGGTGAGATTGATTGGTAGTCACTTGATAGTAACACAACTTGGTTGTAACAATATACTTCCCCTATATATATATATATAAAAGAGATAAATTTATTTACTATAATTTAAAAAAACAATAAAATCGTATAAAAGAAAGGATGTGGAGCACCACTTTACCAGATCTTGGCATTCTTTGTATCTACCAATAAATTAGCATTAAATTTGTTTTGACTTTTTTTTTTCCTTATTGACTGTATTTTATGATAAAATGAATCTTACAATAATATCCCGTATCCCTCGAGGATCAGCTAAGTCCAATAATCTTACCACATTGGTAAATATTTAGCGAGAATAACGATGCAATCTGTACCTCTTTCCTTCACATAAAAAATAATATCCATATAATTAATTGATTAGTTAAGTGAGTATTTTGATTGCATTTATTAAATCCTTACTCATATATTTGGTAAAATAAATCTATCATGATATTATTAGAACAAAATTTCTTTGCCTCGTTGGTGCATAAAAGGAAGGGAATTTTACTTTCTTTCTTCCAGAACAAGCATAAAACAGCATCACAATATCCGTTCAGGTCTTCACTTAGAAGCCACCGCACCAAACCAAAACCCAAATAGTCAAATCTCTTCTCTTTCACCCAATCACTCTCGTAGCAATAGCATAGTATCTGCAACTGTAAGCGTTCAATACCAATACAATACTCACGGTCGCTATAATCGAAATTACGGTGTCGTTTTCAGTTCGTTTAACCATCATAAACCTCAACCCCTTTTTCCTTCCAAACACCACTCTCTAAATCTAATCTCCAACCACAACCAACACTGAAACACGTTGTTTCTCTTCTTCCCTCGTTTTTCAATTTCCTCCTCTCTTTTTTCGCGGGAATCAATAATTTCAACTCGATCATCCTCGTCAAGTTTTGGTTCTTTTCTCTAATGGGCAACTGTTGCGGCAAGTCGGAGAAATTGACGGCGGAGATTGTACCCCATGACGGAGCTAAAGTGTTCCCCACCGTCCGATTATACGGGTCGCCGAAGAACATTCTCGCTGCTTACATTCGTTTCGCTCTTCTCCACAAATCCGTTTCGTTGGACTTCGTTCCATCCAACGAAACGGCGACGGAGCGTGTCGTAGGGTCCGACCCGGATACCCAAGTTACGCTCCAGGTGGGATCCGAAGTTGTTTCGGGCTCCCGCGATACGCTCCTCCGATTCATAGACGACCGATTCCCCACTCCGTCGCTTGCGGCTGCGGGTGGCGGTGGGGGTCGGGAGGAGGAAACGACGCCGTTGATGGTTAGGGTGACACGACTGCAGCATGAGAGCATGCTTTGGCACGTGGAGAGGATGGTGAGGTGGGCGGAGGATCTGGCGACACGTGGAGGGAAGAAGGCCGTTGATCCGTCTGTGGGGACTCCAAGGATGGAGATAAGGAAATTCGCTCGGAGCTACTCGGAGCTGCTGGAAGTGTTGATGGAACACGCGCAGATGGAAGAGACTGTTCTATTCCCTGTCTTTGATAAGGCTGATCGAGGTAACGTTGAAAATATTCTTCAACAATACAAATTTTCCTTTAGTTTTTTTTTTTTTTTTTTAAATATTCGGTTCATCTTTCACAATTGTGGGTACAGAATTAAGTCTTTAAACTCTTCCCAAAGATGATACTGAGGTTTCTTTGGTTTTATAAAAATAAATTTGGCCTCACATATTTAATTTCTCTGCTATGTGATGTGTTATGTTTTAATTGGATTTGTTGATGACGTTGAAAGTACATATTTTGCTCTTGCTAAGTTGATTTTTCAACTTTTTTTTAGGGATTTCGATTTGATTTTTTTAACCGTGAAAACGTGAGCTATTAATAAAGCTAGCTGTAATCTTTTGCTAAATTAGTGTTTGATGATTATTGTTTTTGTAAAGGAGAAAGGAAGAGGTTTATTGTAATTGTGAAATATTTAGTAGACGTTATAAACGAAGTATTACTTGCCTTTGAAGCAATGCTCTGAATAAACATATATTATATATTATATATTATTAATAATTATCTTTGGAAAAATAAAATAAAAATTGCAGGACTCACTAAAGCTGCAAAGGAGGAACATGCTAGGGACCTACCTCTCATGAATGGCATCCAAGAAGTCATAAAATCCGTTGGGGTTTTGGACTCAGGGAGCCCTGATTACCGAGAGGCTCTGTATACCCTTTCTACTCGGCTCAAGTCATTGCAAGTGAGTTCATCCCCTAGGAATAATTCTATTTGAATATTATTGTCACTAGCATTTGAGAGATCTGAATTTTTTATTTTATTTTATTTATTTGGGCCCTGGTTTCCTTGTTAATTTGTTCATAGGGACAATGTAAACATCATTTCATGGAAGAGGAAGTGGAATTACTTCCACTAATGGAGGCATTGGAGTTGAGCAAAGAGCAAGAAGAGAGTGCGCTACAGCAATGTTTTGATGTGATGCAAGAAACACACGGTCGTTTGTTGAAGTTTCTTCTTGAAGGGCTTCCACCCATTGATGCTATGAAGTACTTGGACTTGATCAGCAAGTGTAGGGACAAAGAAAGAATGGAATCCATTCTCCAGATGATAGTTAAGTGAGATATCTTGTCAATGGGTTCAATCATTACGCACACATGGATGATTTGGGAAGCTTGCTTCGCAATAGATGTAAAATTAGGTTTCCGTTTTTTTTTTTGCTTTTTTTTTTTTAAGCCAGTTCTTGTGAAGGAAGCTCCCAGCACGTGTAGGCTTTGGTACTTTGCTTTTGTGGTCTGGGACATTCTTCTTGAGCCTGTCAGCCTGGCGTTTTGATTAGGGGAATAGAAAGCAGTGATAGCATTTGGAAAAGGAGGGCGTTTTCTTCTTCTTTTTTCTTTTCCTCGCGATAGTTTGGATAAGGTTGTCTTGAATATTTTCCTTAGTTATGTACATCCAAGTATATGCACCCGAATTTGTTCAGAACAAGCTAATTTGTGTGTTTTGATTGGTAATTCGACAATTTGCTGAAATTCCTTAACCAAGTCCTTGTTTGCTCATGAGCTTATAGAACATGTGGTGTCCCCTTTTCAAAGTTCCCTCCCCTCTTACTAAAATATCAGTTTGTAAAGCGAGCTTCCTTACTAAATCTTTAAAAAAAAAAAAAATGGTCCATGTTTTGATCCATATTTCAAAACCTTTCAAATACAAATAATTGAAGTAAAAATTGCGGGGCATGCTAATTAAACAGGGGTTGAAATATATGATAGATTGAGTACGAAAATTTGAGGGGCATGCAAAACACATACTATTGATGCTTTGCTTATATTTTACTCGTCTTGATGAGCTTTTATATGTATATAGTATATGGGAATGTTGTGTCTAATATCTTGTGTTTCATGTTGCATGAGACAAATATAATACATAAAAAAGTGAATAAAATTTGCAAAGAAAAATGAACAAATTTTATTTATTTTTTTATATATTACATAAAATAAATTATCTCTTGTACTATAAAAATAAAAATATCGATAGTATATATAACACGTAATAAATTAAAATGGTGTTTATAACATCTTAGTTGTAGGGAGAAAAATAAATATGTTATTATCTATAAATATTGCTCAACATTTTGTCTGTCATAACATCATATCCACTGTTATTCTGTCAACTTTTTCAACCGTGTCACATTGCCAATACGGTACTACCTTCCATTATCTCTCCATCATCTCACGTTTCTCTTGCTTCATAGTTTTCCTATTATTATTACCATTGTGGCACGCATCTACACTCCCATACCGCGCTATCTTAACCACCCCACTGCCATTATTAACAATTTATCATTTAACTCATTCCCCACTCACCTCATTATTGTTGTTACTTGTTACCTTCACTTTACTCATCTTTATTAGTTATTACAATCGCACAATGCTACCACCGGAAAAGTCTCACTATCACTAGCACCGTTCTAACTACTAACCACCGCCTCAACTTTCAATACTACCAAACACTCACCTATTATTGTAAACTCTTTAACTTTGATTGTTACTTTTGCCCTAATGATGAACTTATCACTAAATAGTTCAGTGATTGCAATGCTTTCGCCAAATAATAGTATATTATTCGCTTGAGAGCATAACAACGGTCGATGGGCCACATGTGACTACACCGCAAGTGATAGGAACAGAAAAAGAGGGAAAAGTGAGGAGAGAATAAAGGAAGAGAAATAGGTATCGCCTAATGGATGAAGGTCATTTTCCGTGCAGTCGAAATTCGATGAACAATAGTATGGGCGGCAAAAATAAAATAAAATATTAGTTTTAAGGGTTTTACTTTTCTCACGTTGTATGAGAAAAGTTATCTCATGTTGTGAGATAAATGAAGTGGGGCCCACCAATTTTTAAAAAAAGAAAAAAGAAATAAAAATGAGGCACGTCTTTTTATGTGAGTGTAAAATGAGAGAGTACTCTTATGTAACATAAGAGTATAATTTTCCTAGTTTTAATAAATAATTACAAAAATATAATTATTTTGAAACTATTTATGGATCTATAGCATTTATTTACGTCCAAATTTGGCGTGAATGGTCATGTCTAAGTTAGACATGACTCATGAGTCATTCACACATAATTTAGACGTGAGTCGTTACGTGGTATAAAAAAATAGTTTAATCATAAAACTTTAAAATGTTATAATTTTGACTTGGATACCTGAATCTGGTAAAAAAAAAAAATTGATTCCACATAACTTTCTTAGATCTACGCAATGACACCTTATTTGACTTATTTTATCTCTCACAAACAGTTTAAATTTGCAACAATGGTATCATACGAATATTTAAACACAGAAGCCTCTGAGTTCTTTCTGAATCAACACCAAACACAGTCTTTTGCCTACTAGAACTTCTTTATCCCTATCCTACGAGCTGTATTCTTATCAGTGTAAATTGGTACTTTATCTTTTAAGTCATGGTCTAAAATTAAATATGGCACCAAAGTGGATTAATCCATCTATAAATAAAGATACTTAACGTTATATTAAAATATATACTTTCTACCAAGTGTTTTAAAGCATACTTAATGCATTATTACAAATATATATATAACACCTTAAACCCTCTTATCAAAGCATGTTTCAGAGCATAAAGTTCACCAGAAGAATCTAGAAGTCTCATAAAAAGCCTGCAATTGGATGCTCCTTTGGCATATTTTATCTTTGTAAATGATGTTATTTAAATTTTTTCTTTCCAACATTAACAAACAATTCTATGAAAACGTTCTAATGCATAGATATCGAAAAGTTATATGGAATAAAAAAAATCACCTAATTTGAACTTTCGAGCCAAAAAAACCACCTATTAATTTTTGTTTCAAAAAAGGACCACCGGAACAAGACCACATTATATTATATTATCATTTTTTCAAAAATCTTTTTAAAAAACTACATCCCGCTCTCGCTTTCTTCCATTTCCATTACTATTCTCAACAAAGATAAAGAACACTCACACACACAAACACACACTCTCTCACTGTGTCTACGAGCTCTGATCTCTCTTCAATGGATGTGGTGGAGCTTGCAAGATAGAACCAGGTCATTCTTCATGCACTACCTATGAAACAAAGTTAGATGTTTGTGAGAGAAAAATATGTCAAATGAGATGTCATTGCGTAGATCTCAAAAAGTTATGTGGAATAAAAAAATTACCTAATTCAGATACCTGAGTCAAAAATTATGGTCTTTCAAAGTTTTACGGTTCGTAAGTTGATTTTTTGTGTGCCATGTGTCAAGACCAGATAAGTTACACTTAAATTTGGCATGATTGCCTCGTGAGTCACACCTAAATTAGGCGTGAGCGTTCATGCTCAAATCAAGTATGAATGAGTACTATAAATTCATAAATAATTTTAAAACAGCTATATATTCATAATTATTTATTAAAATAATGTTTTATTTTATTTTTGCCTAGTATGGGTTGTTTTCATCAATTTATCTTTTTATGAATATCTTTGCCAAAATATACTTTTTAAACTATATAAATCAATTTGAAGTTTCTGAATATTTTTTTTTAAAAAAGTTGGTGCAACTAATGGCATCCACTTCCAGATGAATTTTCCTAAAAAAATTGCATTTTTTATAGAGGACATTTTCGTCCTAAATTTACATTTTCAATGCAAAAACTATTTCTAAGAGATATATTGGCGCTTATTTGATACTCTTTCTCGGTTAATCATTTATTAATCAAGATTAATTTTACTTTTAAATTATATACTTTTTTTATAATAATCAAATGTAAAAGGTGGTGCTTCTTTGTAGTTTATCTGACATTTACAATTATTAACATTGTTATAAGATTAAACTTACTCACTTCATTTACAATTATTAATCATTCCTAAGTTATGATTATTGAATTATAACTACATGTTGGTGTTGTAATTTGTAAATTTATTTAAATTTCTAAGCCGTTATTTTTTTATTAAAAAGAGAGATAAAAATAAGTACGTATTTTTTTTAGTACATAAAATAAGTCCGTATTAAATGCTTCATACATGTTTCCTTAAAAATTATAAAAGCCTGTGGTGTTCTGAGCATTCTTAAGAGACTCAATTATAAAGGCCCAGCTACTTTTTAAACCCAGTCCCAACTATACCCCTGAAAAGTAAATTCAAACGCCATTTGTTGAACAAATCTAACACATAAGTTGCTTCATATTGACATTTTGACAGGGATGCAGGATAAGTATTATTGAAGACTGAAGCAAGCACCTCATTGAATGAACAAGGTTGGTAAGTACTGTCTCCACAAAGTTAACAATGAGATGCCACAAAGTTGATTCCAACATAACTTATGATGCCATGAAAGCTGACGAGAATCCAACTAGATATATATTTATATTTCAAATTTTTTTATTTTTTTTTATTTTTAGTATCTCTCATCATTCTTTTTTACTTCTATTGTAGAGATGATTGCTAAAATTCAGGACTAAATGTTTAGTACTTTGGGGATAAGTAATTCTTCACTGAATATAAAACTTGTTCCATACTTTCGGATATTATAAGCCAAAATATCCACGATCAATAACTCGTGTTCTTGGAACCCAAAATTAGAGTCCAAATCGTGAGCCCCAATTCATGATCCTTGTCCCCTTTGTATTGATAAAACCACGATCAATATAACCGTTAGTTCAATAATTGCTTCATGTCCACTAATAATAACTGCTAATATAACATATATAAAGACCAAAATAATAAGGTGAGAGAATTAAGTTCAGATTAAGCAAAATAATATCAAACCGATTGAACCCTTAATGTTCATATCGAACAAAACTCATGGCATTAATCATAAAAAGTGAATGAAACAATACAGTTAGCTGCGTTAATTTATATATTTTTTCAATGGAGATGTTTGATGCGAAGGAACTCATTTGCGAACAATACCATCCATTAAGAAAGAGAAATGCACAATTATCGCATTATCTCACATGGGTTGTGTTTCACCATCGTTCTTTATTTACTGTGTAATTCATTTTGCTTTGGCTTTTTTCCCCCATTTATTTATTACAAAAAATAAGAAATAACTATCCTCCTCATTAAATTAAGGGAGTTATTAGTTTCTTATTATTGCAGATGGGCTATCTTGCTAAGAAAAATATGTGGGATTCGCGATTGTAAAAAAACAATTTAAAAAACAAATAAAGGCTGAGACGAAAAGTGGCTGTGCATAAAAACAATTCTTTTTTTTTTTTGGTAAATAAAAGAGCACAAGCCCAAACAAAAAAGAAAGAAACAACCAAACTGTTCCCTTCCAACATATGCCAGATCCCTTAGATAAATCAACAAAACATCACTAGGAGACTCCTCAAAATATCTCTAGTCAGCCTCTTCAGGAGAATCAAGCAAGAAATTGACCAGCCAGTTAGCGCACATGTTGCCTTCCCTGAAAGTAGGTTGGAAACAAACTTGTTAGTCCTTAACTAACTGTGTTCGTATACGAGAGAACAGTTGCCTCTCACGGACTGCTACACCACATATTATGAGTCCAGTGATTGCTAAAAGCGAATTACTTTCTAGAATAATTTTTTTATACCCCTCACTTCAAGCACTTTCTAATCCTTTCAAGATACCCCAAAGTTCAGCCTTAAAAGAAGAGCATATGTTTACCCTGAAAGCAAAACCTCATAAGTAAATGGTAAAAAAATTCTTTCGACAACATATGAAAACAATTTTTCTTAAATTAATACAATAAACTAACAAATTTACTTTAGTTTTTTTTAATGAAATATATTTTTTATTTTTATTCTTTTAATTTCTAAGGCTATCATTGTATACATACTTTTTAAATGTTAGACTAATGCCCTTCAATCACATAGTAATATAGTTAATATTTCTAATTATTCGCTGAATAATTAGAAATATTAAGTGACAAGAAGATTATTTTTCTTAATTAAGATATTGACTTCAAATTTTAACAGTGAAAAAAATAATATCGAAAAAATCACCTTAATATAAGTTTGACACACACAGTATGAGTCCAATAATATAATAATCATTGTAAATGTAAATTTCTTTTTTTAGAGAGAACTAGCGTCACCATAATATGAATGATTTCAGTTCGAATAAAATTGTCTCCGCTCGAATTTATCAAAATCACTATAATCATTGAAATCTGTGTACACCGTAAAAGAGGAGTGAGCTTACTACCATGGTTAATTATTGTGGGTGTTTATTTAAAGAACAAGTAAATAATGATTTGTTTAAATTTAAATTAAATTTAAAATAAATATAACCTTACTTATTTAATCGACAAACTCACTTTAAAAAGTATTTTTTTAAAATAAAATATGAGAAATATTATACTTACAATCTATTTTCGTTTATAACCTCTTACAATCATATTTTAACCTTTAATTTTTGTCAATTAACGATTATTATTATTTTAAATTAAACTCGTTAATTAATTATTAATTAGTAATAAATAATAATCGTTGATGAAAATCAACGATTAAAAATATAATTGTAAGATATTGTAAACGAAAATAAATTGTAAATATAACATTTTTCATAAAATATATAACAAACTCTTAAATAATATATATAAGTTTTTTTTTTTTTTTTTGAATACATATATATAAGTTTTTATTATCGAACTAGTCCGCTAAATACATGAAACATATCAACTCTACTTTTCCGTAACGAAAAATACAATTGACATTTTATACATTTTGAAATGTTTAAAACATTATTATATATGCGCTTAAGCTGGCTGGCCCTAATTGGATTGCGCTCTACTCTCCTGGGTCGCAAAATCAGAAGGTTTTATGGCGGGAATTTAGAAAAGCTCTTCAGAACTCAGAATCAGAAGAAAGAAGTGGAAGGAAGGAATTAGAATGGGATCTGAAGCTCTTGTTCCAAAATGGGGATCTAAACCTTGCATCATGGGAATCGACGAAGCTGGAAGAGGCCCTGTTCTAGGTTTCACTACTCACTCTTTTTGCAATCTCATAATCTCTTCGCATTCCCTCATTTTTCTCTGTAACATATCTTCCAAACTGTTTCAGGGCCCATGGTCTATGGTTGTTTGTACTGTGCTCGCTCCTACCAAAAGACCCTATCTACTTTGAGTTTTGCAGGTACCATCTCAACTTGATTTTTTCATTATTTTCAATTGGAAGAGCGTTTATAAGTTTTGTATAAACGCAGCAGTTCCCTGCTAATTCATTAGAATTGGTTTCTTTAGAAATATGTGCACCTAACAACAATAAAAAGCGAAATTTGGAATTTGATTGAAATTAGTGGCACTCAGGGACTTGCTTGGAAAAAAATTGAATTGAACAGTTACTTGACACAACACGTAGATTAATAAGTGTCTAGCCATATAAACGCGCTAACGAAGGGACATGCTTATGTGTTATGCCGCTTTCATGTAAACTGTGGCGATTATGTTTTGCTTGGTGCAGATTCCAAGACACTAAAAGAAGAGAAGAGGGAAGAATTATTTGAAACTTTAAAGACCAATGATTCTATTGGATGGGCTGTTGATGTCATTGACCCAAGGGAACTCTCCGCTAAAATGCTTAAGAAGTAAATCAACTAGAATTAGTCCTTTGATGTTTCACTGGGTTTTTCTATTTCCTGAATGCTTTCCTTGTTATAATTTTATCAGGAATAAGATAAACTTGAATGAGATATCTCATAACTCTGCCATGGGTCTCATCGATAGGGTACTAAAAATGGGAGTGCTTCTAACCGAGGTAAAACTTTCCCCAACTTATGTTAAATATCAAATGTAAGGTAATTCATATTCAGCTCAAATGACTTGGACCGGTGTGATAATAAGCAGATAACAATTCAACTGCAGAGGTGAGAAACATATAATTTGTGCTTTTCAGGTTTATATAGATACAGTTGGAGATCCAGAGAAATATGAAATGAAGCTGTCTAGAAGTTTCTCATCTATCAAATTTGTGGTTGCAAAGAAGGCTGATAGTCTTTATCCTGTTGTCAGTGGTGCAAGCATAGTTGCAAAGGTACCTATCTCTCCCTTATAACAGTACCTGCTGTATGAAGTCTTATAGTCTACTTGCAAGTTGCAACCTTTAATCAAACCTTTCAGGTCACAAGAGACCAAGCTTTAAGAGAATGGGTGCTCGATGAGACAGCTGAAAACATGCACAGGAACTTTGGCTCTGGATATCCAGGAGGTGAGAAGGCCATCAGTCCATCTCATGCCATGTCTATCATTTTGAATAACATTGTACGTGTGATAAATCTGATTATGTTTTCATTTTTGTAGATCCCCAAACCAAGTCTTGGCTAGAACATCACAAACATTCTATCTTTGGATTTCCAACATTGGTCCGATTTAGTTGGGGAACCTGCACTACTTATTTTAAAGATATTGCGGAAGTCTTGTGGTAAGCTGTTTTCTTAATCTTCAGGAAAATCCGTGACTGTATAGAACATGAGTCACAAGTTTTTTCCACTTTATATATGTTAATGTGTTCATCGTGTCAATTATTTGCTGTGCTTTCCATTTGCGTACTTGAACTAGGCCTAATTAACTACTGTGGATGTGATGGACCCATAGTAACTAGGGTGTATACAAGAAAGAATAAGCAGGGGTCAGATGATAACCACTTGGAACTTGGAAGAGGCTGAAGTGGAAGAGGCTGTGGGTGGAAATCTGTTTAGAGGGAATTGGAGGGAAAATTTGGTTAGGGGTATTGTTATATGTGTTGAAGAATTGAGCGAAAGAAGTCCTACATTCGTTAAGAATAGAGTGAATGAGTACCAAATAAGTGAAAGGACCCATGCACCTAATGCCTTAAGGTTTTGGGTTTGATTGTAGTGTTTAAGCCCCTTTAATGTTGTTGCTCACTTAACCCATGAGTGGAGGTCTCTCCCGCCATGAGCTCCACTTTGCCAGCCCATCAATATGAGGGGTGTAGGAGATCCGAGGAAGGTAGGAAAAATAGTGAGTGAATTGTGGGCGCCACATGGGCGATTGGGGAGAGCGTTGGCTTCTCAAAATTGCTAGTGTGTATCTGTTCTTGTTCTGTTTCGTCTCATTTTTTTCTGTTTCCTCTGTATTACATAGGAAAAGATGAGAGAACATAGATTGAGGTGGTTTGAGCACGTAAAGAGAAGGCCCCTAGATGCTCCTGTAAGAAAAAAAAACTTGTTACCAAGAGCTCGATACTAAGAAGGTAGAAGTAGACCGAAACTTACTTAAGGGAAGAGAGTAAAGAAAAACTTAATGAAGTGAGATATAGATTGGCAGATGGTGTGCCTTAGGACGGAATAGAGAAAAACTATAAGCATGGTGGAGGGTTAAACCTATTGTTATTCCTATGTTCTAGATGGTCCTTTTTAGTCCTTTTCCTCTTCATCTCCTCCCTCTTCTTTTTTTCCCCTTCTTTTTATTTATTTATTTATTTTACACCCCTTTTATTTTTGCTTTTATATATATATATATATATATATATATATATATGGGAAAAGTATTTCTACAGCCACTTTAGATAAGGTTATCTACAGCTACCCCTTTTTAACTAAGTATAACCGGTCATACTTAGTTATAACAATAAAGCTGTTCTTTTTTTCTCTTTCCTCAGACACTGTCGGCTGACGTGGCGGAGAGAGAACATGCAATTTTGATGTTTGACCGGTCGTACTTAGTTAAAATGGGGTAGTTGTAGACAACCTTATCTAAAGTGGCTATAGAAATGTTTTCCCCTATATATATATAAGGCTTATCTAGTCTCATATTGCATGAGAGAAAGAATTTTATGTCATAGACACAGTGATGGGGCCCACCACCCAATGAATAAAAAAAGAAGGAAAATGTTGCACGGTTATCGAAGGGTGTGTAGGAAGAAAAACTTACCTCATGTAACATGATGAGAATAGTTTTTTTCCATATATATATATATATTATTTTATTTATTTTGTTTTTATTTTTTATCTTTTTTCAATCCCTTTGTATCTTTCATTTTGGTTCATTTATCATCGACCCCAATTAGTTTGGGATAAAGGTATTATTGATGTTGATATCTGTAATCATATTTACAGAATACATACTCAGTTCCAGATTGTTCTTATTTCCATTAATTTTCGTTTCTGATACCCAACAGGATGATTCAAGAATAATGCTGACATGCTGCTAGGTGCTATTTATAAGCACCGTACACGACTTAAGTCAGATGTTGGACTCAACTTAAAAACTAAAACCAGTTCTGCCTTTCATTTTCTTTAGTTTTTCTTTCTTAACTTCCATAGAATACTAGTTTTGTTAGGGGCTCCAGCGTTCATTTCCTCCCAAAATAGCAATCTCAAATCTAAGCAAATCCCACAACAGTAATTTTTGGGATTTGCTCTTAGGTTGTCTTAACACCATTGCACCACATCCTTATTAAATTCAAAATCATTTGAGTTCTGCTTGTTGTTTTCAGATTGATAAATAGGTTATTTTTTGCAGTGTCTTTTCATGTCAACAAAAAAAAAAGTCAGAAGTCGAGACTAATTACCATAGCTGATGTGCACACTTCATTTAGATCCAAGTCTAATTTAAAATATTCAATTCTCCTAAAAGCTTAAGGTGTCAGGCGTCGTTTTATATTTTTGACACACTTCTCACGCAAGCCTTGAGCTTGAAGCAGGAAGAATGCAAAGCATATTTTACCTTGTGCTTCAATTACCTTATAAAGAAGGTGGGCGGGAAGAATCTAATTGCTGATTCCTTGGTATACCGTGTCTAAATCCAACTCATCTTAATTATCTTTAGCACAAGGCTTTAGGTGACTTTGTTTTGTCCGTGCTTCAACTCTAAAAGAGCCTTTTGGCATTAAACGGATTAAACTTTTGAGTTGGTTTCTAGGCATGGATCGTATCTTTTATTAAGGATGAAATTAAAATCACTTGCACAGCCATCCATCCCGTCCGTATATGGCACAAATTATTGTCCCTTTTCTCTCCGTTTCTATGTTTCAAGCTTAATTTGAGAGTTTTTTGTGCTTATATCTCTTCATTAACACTTGTTATTGTTTATAGGGAGTCTGACAAGGATGAAGATGGCGGTAGCATTAATAATAGTGGCAAGCGGCAATTGAAATTAAGTAATGTGGGTTTCACCTCATCCAAGAGGAGAAGTGAAGAAATAGAATCAAGTGGTAAAGGACGTTGTAGGTTTTTTCAGGCTCGGAAACTTGAGCACCTCAATTATTTCTAAGAACGATGCTTAATTATGGTCCCCTCTCTGCCCTTTGCATTATTTCAGTAATTTCTAGATATGTGAAATTATAGAATATTGGAATATTTGATCTTTGGAGAGCATTTTCTGTATATAATCTTTCTAGGATGATCCTCAGTCTAACCAGACGAGTGCTAGTATTGTGTCAATTTAATTAGTATTTGTAAGTTGAATTTTATATCACCTTAATTACTAAACTTGTATTTCTCTGTATACGACCTAAAAGTTTGTCTTCTCAAATGATTAGCCCACCTAGACAATCCTGGATGTCTGCATCGATCGATTGAATAACAGTGTTTCCAGTTTTGAATCTGAGCGGGATACCAGTTCTACACTACATCCAAAGCGCCATTTGCTAGCCCTAAAATCTCGAGTTCTCAGGGCAATTAAAACAAACCAGTGGTAAATGTAATCCAAATGGAATACATTTTTGGTTTGAATGGCTGTCACCAAATTTACCTGTATTTCCCTTACATAAAGCTATATGGTAAACAATCGGTGTCGAGTGCCCATATTAAACGGTTACACTTGGCTCACAAGCAATGCTTCATATGATTACGGAAAATGATAATATCTTCCATATATGCTAGGGTGCAGAACTGTTTTCAGTTCTAAGCATGCAACCCGTTATTGCCTACACAATTTGTCTTTTTCAGACTTGCAATTGCAGATAGCCATATACACGAATCAGCAGTCAGCACCTTCTGCCCACATGAAACTTGGCTTTTTATGTGGTTAATGTTGAGATATATAGTTCCACATTGATTGTGTGGGCAACTAATGTGACCATTATAAGGCTTTGGACACTCCTACCCTTTGAGCTAGCTTTTGAGGTGATGTATCCCAAGGTTCTTTACATGGTATCAGAGCCTCACCGTCCCCCACTTTAAAGTGGAATTAAAATAAAAAGCACAAAAAAGTAAACTAAAAATTGAGCCTGTGCAATTTTCACGCTTCTAGCCTAAATGGCTCTTGCGTGAGGGGGCGTGTTGAGATATATAGTCCCACATTGATTGTGTGGGCAACTAATGTGACCTTTATAAGGCCTTGGGCACTCCTACCCTTTGAGCTAGCTTTTGAGGTGATATATTCCAAACTCCTTTACATATAAGACATTTTTCAAACTAAGTGTCTTAGACATTGATACAGTACCAGATATATGTGAAAAGACATGTGCTCCATTGGGCAAAGAAATGACAATTGGTTCAATATGTTTGACAGAAGATAAATTGTCAAGGCTAAAGGTGATAAATTGGTTCTTTACAGTTAACTTGCGTGAGGGGGCGTGTTGAGATATATAGTCCCACATTGATTGTGTGGGCAACTAATGTGACCTTTATAAGGCCTTGGGCACTCCTACCCTTTGAGCTAGCTTTTGAGGTGATATATTCCAAACTCCTTTACATATAAGACATTTTTCAAACTAAGTGTCTTAGACATTGATACAGTACCAGATATATGTGAAAAGACACGTGCTCCATTAGGCAAAGAAATGACAATTGGTTCAATATGTTTGACAGAAGATAAATTGTCAAGGCTAAAGGTGATAAATTGGTTCTTTACAGTTAACTTGATATTGAATGTGTAAACATTCCTTACAATCTGAATAGAATATATTCATCAGCAACTGACACATTGTGCATGTTGTGTCACGAATTGAAACTGAACAAAATACATCATTGGTTCACCAGAAAACATTATTGTTGGAAAAATCCTGTGACAGTTGTTACATACTATACAATGAAAACTCTGGGCTTTCTATATTACAGTATGAGAGGACAGACGAAAATGATCATTAGCATAGTGGAAAATTTGATTTTGTTAAGGTTGCAGTTGGCAGCACCATGATGGTTCTGAGGTTGGTGGTTTCTATTTGCCGCAGCGCCTGCATAAACAGGTATAACTGCTGCACCTCCTTGTGTATTGGGTGAATCTCCATGTGCTCGGCCACCATTAGTACCTCCATGACTAGAGCCTCCTTCCAACTTTACTCCATATATTCCTTTATCTTCTATCTTGCTCTTCTGCAACAATTCTTTTTTTTCTTTAAAAACAAAAAGTCTTACTAAAGGTGTTCATTCATGGAATGGAACTTTGTTTCTTTGACATGCTTAAGAAAGCAACTAACTAACAAGGTACAAGGTTGATTCCCCTAGTATTTTGCTTGTAAATAAAAAGATAAGGGTTTCTGCTCAAATGAAAATTGCAGAAGAAAATGATATGGTTAGTTATTACAAACACTCAATTGGTAAATATTAGTACTATAACTACATCCCCAACTTATATTAAAGTATCAAATGCAATATTGACCATTTACTTTTTCGCCATGCAATTTTTCACCTATTAAAGATCCATAGAATGAGATTTGAACGTGAAGCATATACGTTTCTAAAGATGAGTACATAACTAGGTATTGGATCCCCCACTAGACCACTAGCCAGTGGTGAGACATCTTTTTAAAATCGTACTCTTTGTGCTAACCGATGTTTTTGATGTCTTGTCATGCAAAGGAATTTAAGCAAAAAATAGTTAGCGTATGAAATTTCTACTTGTGGAAGACAAGGAACTTAGGAAAGTTAATAATCTATAACAACTTCAAAGTTTGCTTCCTTCGTTATAAATAAAAAGAAGTTTCCTGTTCCTACTATTGATACCTGAATAGGATTTCTTTCACCAATTAGAAAATCTAATTGCTCTATGATAAATCTTTTTAGGGAAAAATGTTTATGCAGTTAATGCAAATAAGTTATCTGTATTTATTCCCAATACGACGTCGTTTTGGTATTGAAATCTTAAAAAATTTATAAATATAAAGACTACGGTAACCCTGAAAGAAATTAAAATTACAAAAATATCATAATTTTCTACTACAGATAAACTATCTGCATAAAAAGCAAAGTCATCTTTTTACACCATAAATCACAAAGATTTATCAGTGTTTCTAAACAATCAGTTTATGCATGTGCAGCATATATCAATTTTTTATGCTCATTTATTGCAATTTTGATATGCTACTGTATTCTTTCTTTATCATACGTTTACAGTGCGATGAAGATGATAGCTAGCAGACACTCAGCAGGTTATCCACAATTATGCTATTAAGTTTCATACATAATACAAGAATTGGATCTGTTTCTATAGCGAAGGAAAAAAAAACAATAGGGGGAGGGGTTGGCAAGATAACAATTGAGTTAGAAGTTATTTACTTAAAAAAAGAACTAAGGATAGTAGTACCTGAAGGCAAAGTCTTCTGAATAGGATATGAAGATGCAAGATTAATTAGATAGATGATGATGATAAGAAGAGAAAATCCTAATACTCTGAAACCCATTTGGCTGTTCTGATAAGATGACCAGCACCTTACTGATTCTTGGTTTTATATGAAAACTCTTGTCCGCAGCTTTTTACCTTCTCGCACACTGAATGTATTGTGTGTGCGGGGCACAGCTGTTTACACGTTATTCCCATTTTTATTTATAATATTTGGAAAAAGTATGTTCGACTTTATCTTCACCGAAAAGTTATCAGCTCTTTATTATAAAATCAAAAAGGGTATATTTAGAATAGAATTTCTTAGTAAATTAATTTGTGATTCCACAAGTAATTGAAAAGTTGAACTACCGTGTTTTTATGTGCCACGGAATTCATAATTATATTCGTGCTTATGATGAATGACAGAATAACTGTGGCAGCTATATCTTACTTATCATTTACCGTTTCCACATCAGCTGAGCTGCTGCTCTTGGCATCGTTCGGTTCGGGTTCGGTGTTTGAATATCAATTCATGTCGGTGTTTGAATTATATTAGTAGATCTTCTTTCAGACACAATAATATATGAAATCCCGAACTTTCATATTCATTTGACGTGATTAAGTTGAACACTTGGACTTCGATAAATAACGGCCATCGAAACAAGCACGGGTTTTATAAGAGTTATTTGGTGGCTTTTTGACCCTTATGCCCCTTAATTAATAATTAATTACCAAATTGCCCCTCATTCAAAACTATTTCGAAAATTTACCCTCCCCAACAAACATAACACCAATCTGCCCCTGTTTGACCGTTGACCACGAAGCCTACCCGGGTACACCATTACCTACCCGGGTAAATTTTGAAACTTTTTATCTACCCGAGTATGTAGGGATGTACCCGGGTAGAGTTCTTGAATCTGGGAAAATGTTTGAATTATTTACCCGGGTACGGAGCAGTGTACCCGGGTAAATCGCGTCCAGAAACCCCAATATGTATGGGTTTCGGCCATTGTTGCGAGGTATAGGGTTTTTGAAACCCCAAAATCTTTCTCTCTTACCCTCTCTAATCCGAAACATCACACATATTTCATCTCATCATTTCAGAAAGCTGAATCTTGGTGGGACATTGAGATTACATCTCCACACTCCCATTTTGTGCTAAAAAATCCGAACCAACCTCCAAACCCAAAACCTAGATCTAATTTTTGTGTGAAAGATGAGTTCAAGTCCAAACATGGTTCCTATAGTTGTTTACTACAATGGGAGGCATTTTGAAGGTCCGAACGGTGTCCGATTTGAAGGAAAAACAAAAACGATGAAAATCAAAGTGGGCACTACATGCAATGAACTGAAGGAGAGAATTCTTCAAAAAATGGGGTCAGAAGGCATACATTCCATCCACCGCATGATAGCCAGGTTAGAGACTGTAGTGGATATGGATACAATATACTACATTGGAAACGATATAAATGATGATGAAGATGTGGAGTTCGTAACAGATGCGTTTGTTGAATGGAAAGTATTAAAATATATTGAGATATATATTGAAGTTGATGTTGGACAATCTTCATCTTTACCGGTGCATACAACCACTACTGCACACTGTACCGGTCAAGAAGATACAGTTGTACGATCTTCTGCACCTCCTCAGGTAGCATGGGATGAGGATGAAGAGGATGAAGACGAGGACTATGTGGACAGCGAAGATGAGGGAGAACCTGAAAGTG